ACCCTTTACTTCTCAATCCAGACCAACCCTCTTCTATACCACGTTTTCACCTAGTTTTCCAGATGCTACAACCCATCTCTCCGCCTCCTAGACCCCAGCACACCCTTGTTTAAAAATGAAAGAGTATTAAAGTGGAAAGTGTATTAACTGCTGGGCAGATTATAGTTACAGGCTATAAAGGGACAGAAAGTAATGTGGCATTAGGACTGGATCATTACAGAGACTGTCAAAAGACGTGGACTGTTCATGTATAGTCCACTGACCTTTAGAATTGGATCTTACACAGGACAATATAACGGCTTCCTTTTCTCTTCCTTGAAAACCATCCACAGACTTAATTTCAAGATCTGGGTACCTGTGCCGCAGACACTGGCGTAGCAAATCCACCTAAACAAGGAAAGAAGGCAGAACATTACATACTGTATTCCCACATACGGCAGAAAAAAAAACCTGGTGATTAGCACTGTGACCACATATGGCAGCATGGCAGCCTAGAGGTTATCACTGTGCCCACACATGGCAGCGTGGTAACCTAGAGGTTATCCCTGTGCTTAGATTTGGGAGCGTGGTAATCTAGAGGTTATCCCTGTGCTCAGATTTGGCAGCGTGGTAACCTAGAGGTTATCCCTGTGCTCAGATTTGGCAGCGTGGTAACCTAGAGGTTATCCCTGTGCTCAGATTTGGGAGCGTGGTAACCTAGAGGTTATCCCTGTGCTCAGATTTGGCAGGGTGGTAACCTAGAGGTTATCCCTGTGCTCAGATTTGGCAGCGTGGTAACCTAGAGGTTATCCCTGTGCTCAGATTTGGCAGCGTGGTAACCTAGAGGTTATCCCTGTGCTCAGATTTGGCAGCGTGGTAACCTAGAGGTTATCCCTGTGCTCAGATTTGGGAGCGTGGTAACCTAGAGGTTATCCCTGTGCTCAGATTTGGCAGCGTGGTAACCTAGAGGTTATCCCTGTGCTCAGATTTGGCAGCGTGGTAACCTAGAGGTTATCCCTGTGCTCAGATTTGGCAGCGTGGTAACCTAGAGGTTATCCCTGTGCTCAGATTTGGCAGCGTGGTAAACTAGAGGTTATCCCTGTGCTCAGATTTGGAGGCACGAAATCCTGGAGGTCATCAGCATGCCCTTATATGGCAGAATGATAGCCTAGAGGTCATCACTGTGCATACATATGGCAGCATGGTAGCATATAGTTTATCACTATGCCCACATATGAAAGCCTAGAAGTTATCACTGTGCCGACATATGGCAGCATGGTAGCCTAAAAGTTATTACTATGCCCACATTTGGCAACACAGTAGCCTAAAGGTTATCACTGTGGCTACATATAAGTTTGGTAGCCCAGAGGTTATCACTGTGTCCCATGAACCATGGTAGCCTATAGGTTAGTGCTGTGCTCACATATGGCAGCATAGTAACCTAGAGGTTATTACTATGCCCACATATGGAAGCATGGTAGCAGTGTTCCCACATATCGCCCACTTGCCTAAAATACAAAATGTCCTGTGCTCCCTGAGCCAAACTGATATCTCCACATACTGCTTCAGAGAACCCAATAGAGGGAGAGTGCCACAGAAATGCTGCAGGTTTGCCTCGGTGTGTCAGTGCCTTCCTCCTCTTACTGCCTTTTCTCAATAATATACAGAGAATTCAGTTTGGCAGGGGATGAGGAACGCTCAGTTCTCAGCCCAGCAGCACCTGTCACAGACATCCTGGGAGTGGAGAAATGCCAAGGTCAAGTGACCGTCACAGACCTGGAGTGGTACCAGTTCCTGCAACAATCACATTTAGGGTGGAGCTCTCCTTTGAAGAATGCACATTTGTAATAAAATAAAATTGAAAGGCTCACACCTATCACTCCTTCTGAAAATACTAGTTGGCTAGCTGTCATATTAATCCTCTGACTTCAAAACAGTCACTGACATGGAAGAAGCCTGCAGATAAGGAAACGTTTCTCAGACTTTCCTAATCTACATACCTATTAAAGCCGTGGAAACACTATAACAGTCAGCCTCTCACTATTTAAAAGCTTTGTATATTTATTTATAGTTTTGTGTGTTATTATTTTAGACTAGTTGTAGCCAAACTTCAACTCTCCAGCGGTGATGAAAATGCAAATCCCATAATGCATCTGCCTCTGGAAGTCATGCCTGTGGCCGTCAGAGTCTTACAATGCCTTATGGGACTTAGTAGTAGGGGGTAGCTGTATACCAGCAGCTTCTGCTGCTGCTAGGAGGGAGAGAAAGTGCAGTGTGCAAGGGGGCAGTCTGAATGCACAGTGGGGGCACACTTCTAACCTCAGGCCTGTGCTGTCATTTAGCCAGGACGGAGGGGGGGTTGATCACCTAGAGGTTTGTGCAGACAGACTGTGCAGGACCTACAGCTATGCAATGTGAAAAGGACAGCTTTTTTTAACACCTTTGTGCTTTGCAATGTGCTGTGGATGATGGAAAACATTAATTTTTTTTAAATGTGCAGAAAGGTGAACTAACCCTTTAATTGTGATATTTCCAGAAGGAGGAATGGCCACGCACAGGTCCTAACTTTTTTTAATTCTTCCATATGTGTTCAACCTAATACGGCCATGGACAAGAGTGTGTGTGTGTGTGTGTGTGTGTGTGTGTGTGTGGGTGTGTGTGTGTGTGTGTGTGTGGGTGTGTGTGTGTGTGTGTGTGTGGGTGTGTGTGTGTGTGTGTGTGTGTTTTTTTTTACCGTATTACAGAAAAGGTTATTATTTCTAAAATTATTTAGGAGTTTCAAATGCAACTGATGCTTACAAGAATTCTGCTTTAAATACATCTCCTCACCTGCAGGTTGTAGGGGGATATTACAGCAATATCCCGAGCTTTCAAACCAGCACTAGTCAGCGCCTTAATGTGTAAATCCACCAACCGCACCTCGCCTGGCAGGAGAAAAAGGTAACACCATGAATACTAGTATGTAATTAAAACAGAACAAAACCCAAATCACTAAAATCTCATATAAAGCTTTAACAGGGGGCCCACTTATTCTAAAGGAAAAGAAGGAAACAATGTCCCATGAAATCCAAGATCAATTACATCACCTATCAATTTAGATCCATGTCAATCACGATGAGCACCGCCCAATGATGTTGACCAGCCTCCACAATAACCTGCTGATTCCAATGATCTTCACCTGCATCTGCTCCCATTCCAAATTACAGATCCCCGCTGGCTTGTGTATGTAAACAAACGGCGGGGGATCCTGGGTGACATCATTTACCAAATATGGTCATGAACCCGCCACCTTACTTAAAAACAGAAGCCATCAAGAATAAGTCATGCCATTTAGTGGCGGTAGTGCTACTGCCTCTAAATGATAGAATTCCAGCAGAGGTTCAGGCCAAATTGTTTGCTCATTTGCCAAACAGGCTAGGCTAGGGTCAAGCTTATGTTCAATGTGAACCTGAAGATAATTTCAAAACAGCAGCACTCACATGCAAAACAGATTAAAACCACAGTATTGTATTTAAAATGGCAATAGTTAAGGGAGAACTATGAGGTGATTGATTTCACGCATCCTCATAGTTAGTGCAGACCTGTGACAAAGAAGCTGTTACAGGTCGGCTCTACTGATTGGGAAGTGAGTGAACACATACCGTCGCTCGCTCACTTCCCAATCATCTCCCTGCAGAGAGCGGTGACTGTCAGTCACCGTTCCCCGCAGGGATTCCCCCCTCCCCGCTCCCATCCTCCAGCACTGAGTGGAGGGAGAGACGAACGGAGAGGGCGGGTACAGCTGGCTCTGCCTTTAGATAGGCACTGCCTGCTGTCACTCACGCAGCTGGGTGGATTCAGACAGTATTAATCGGGATCCGTCCCAGCTGCGGCGCTCTCAGTATATCGTGAGCAATAGCCCCCTATATACTGAGCTTTGGGTTACGGGAGGAGGTTAGTATATGTCCTCCTGTGACCCTAAAGAGAACTATGGGGAAAAACACTTACCCCATAGTTCTCTTTTAAGAATACAAAAGTATTTTAGCAAACAAAGTGCTGTCCACCGAGGCTTGTAATCTAATTTAGAGTCTAAGCTGCTTTCAAAAGGCATGAATTGTATATATGAAAGGATTGCTGACTGGGAAATTTTTACCCAAAGTGGAACTGTATATTATCAGTGATAGGCATAGCTGCATACTCCAGAAAAAGCATGAGAGAATGGAAAAGTATTTCTCTCTCCTAAAACTAAACACACGACATTACCTGGATTCCCTTTTGACTGCTCATCTTCAATATCCATCTCAAACAGTCCACAGTGTGCCGTGTCTATAAGTAGTAATGGTATACTGGTCTCCTCAGTTAATGCCACTCCAGGTAGGTCTCTAAGATGTTCAACAGAAGACATAGTAAATACTTCTTGGCTACAATTCACGCAGAGTGCACATAATATAATCATCTTCACATCAGAATACCTTGTTTCCCCGAAAATAAGACCTACCCTGAAAATAAGACCTAGTACTATTTTTGGGAATTGCTAAAATATAAGACATACCCCGAAAATAAGACCTAGTTGTGACCATTCCCAGGGCCGGTGGTGGCATAAGGGGGTAATTTGAAGAGCGGCGGGAGAGGTAGGAGAGAATCAGCGGTGCCAATGAAGCCGGCGCTAGAGTAAGTGAGGCGGCAGCGGAGGGAGCAGAGCCGCATAAGCCGATGCCTCCTCTATAGTGCCGGCTGCTGTCACAGGCAGAGTGATACCAAATGCACTCCGCCTGTGAGGAATCGATAGTGAAAGAGCGCTTCGCTCATTCTGGCCAGTGATTGGTTAACAAATTGCTCTTGGAAAAGTACAGCACCCCTGATTGCCCTGATCACCCTATTCTGAACTTTGCTATTTTGGATTTTTTAATTTGCATTAACTTTGGATTGTTGTACATTAAAAAAAATAAGACCTACCCCGAAAATAAGTGTGTTTTTTGAGCCAAAAAAATATAAGACAGTGTCTTATTTTCGGGGAAACACAGTAGCAAGTCTGTTGTTGATGGCAACTCACTACTGACAGGATCAGGATGAAAGCAGAGAGAGATTGTTCACCTACACCTACAGCATTGCTCCATGGTTGGCCAAACTAGCGAGTTGTCACTCCATTGTTACTTGCTCACTGTAGCAAGGGACTCTGCAGCATTTCTGCCAATTGAGGAAACATTGCTGTAGGGGCAAGTTAGTGGTCTCTTTAGCAAGATCATGGCAATTTGCTGCCGGCGACAAGATCTTTAGAGTGGTTAGTTACCATTTGACTGCTTCGATACAATCTGCTATAACATCACTGTCTTTACATGCCCTAACTTACAAATATTGACTGGATATTGATGAAATGTTTACAAGGGTTGCGACTCTAAACCAACCACCCCACGCTGTAAGCCTGCATTGCATTATGAGACTGAAAGGAAGCTACCTGACAGTTAGGGGCTTTGGGATACCATACTAATTAATGCTGACCATACACTGCCCACATTTTTTTCTCATACAGCCCCGCAAGGCCTTCTTAGATTTTTCTTATCAGCAGCAAGAACCAGAGTCCCTCGCCACTGAAAATCTACACAAGCTCTTACTGTTTCAGCGTGACTCCAAGAACTTGTATCCAACATATGAAGGAATATATGGCTTTCCTCCATGACAGGTATTCAACCTACCTAGCCACAAGGAGGTTCTGGGCTGTCTCCGCCCACACACCGTTCTGCCGGACTGTGATAGGCGGCTGAGCGGTGTGGGAGGAGAGACGCCGGCCGCTTACAGCGCTCGTCCGGCTATCACTTTTTTTTCTCCCCGCTGGAACACAGAGCAGCGCCCAGCGGGGAGAAAAGAAACCAGGGATGCGCCGATGTATCGGCCGAAACATGGCTCTTTCGGCATTATGCCAAAAGTGCCATTTTGGGCCGATATGTTTCAGCGGCCGATATATCGGTGCATCCCTACTATATACTGTGAAAACTGACATAAAATGTTACTATGTACAACTCATACAACTTACTTGAGTAAATGGCGTGCGACAGAGGAGTGTGCAGTCAGCCTGTTTTCATACAATGCTTGTGAAGCCCACTGCATTATACAGTCATTCATACGATATTGCACGGTCAGCATCTTCACCACTCTGTCCCCATACTTCTTTATTATCCGCTCCATCAAGCTGAGGGACAGGCCCCTTGATGCAGCCCTGAAGAAAAATACAATAGGGGTTCAAGCACTGCTAGAATGCACAGTGCGCTATGCATAGACTGTAAGGACATTACAAAATTACAATAGGAAATAAAACACACCCACATCAATGTGTAAAATGAAAAAGCAAGTATTTCCCAATACTCAAATACAAAACCTCCATCCAAAAATATTTAAAATGGAACACCGACCATAGCTTTTTTTCTTGTTTTGAACAGTTTGGGGACGAGTTGAAGCTGAACCCCGGGGGAAAGCAAATCTGGTCTAAATAGAAGAGGCATGTGTATTCTTAATTGGATCTCATGTGTTGTGTAGTTTTTCTGGGTCTGTGCAGTAATATATGGTGTAAGTTTGCCTCTGTGGAGGAGCTTTCTGTAATAATGACGTCGCTGCTGCTCTCTCTCCTTGTCCAAGGTGAATGGCCTTGTTTCGACCCCCTTCCTGTTTTCTGCAGGCAGCCATTAGTGGGTCCCTCCCACAGCTTTGCTCTCTGCATAGCAATGGTGTCACTGCTACTTTTATATGGTAATATCTGGGTTTAAAAAGGCATTAGATGCATACAAAGTAGGGATGTCCCGATATTTATACTAGTATCAGTATCGTGGCCAACACAGCATTTCAGGCCGGCGCCCCCTCAGCAGAGACCTACAGAGATCCACATGCCACCCAGGTGAGATCGGCATGCAGCCTGGTGAGATGTATTTTGCTCTGGGGACACGTATTCTGCTCTGCTCTGGGGACACGTATTCTGCTCTGCTCTGGGGACACGTATTCTGCTCTGGGGACACGCATTCTGCTCTGCCCTGGGGACATATGTATTCTGCCATGGTGACATCTGTAATTAGCTCTGGTGAGAAACTGCCCTAAAATCATCAGTCTGTATTGTTTTCGAAAAATTGTCACATGTCCTTAAGAAAAAGTATCGGTAATTGATATCGGCAAGTACCTGAGGGCAATTACTTGTATTGAGTCATACAAAAGTGGTATCGGGACATCGCTAACACAACGGGCATTTATATCCTCTGTGGCTATTAAGGAATACATTTAAATGAAATGTTATGTCATGAGTACAGCTTTAAAACACAAACCATGTTTGTAGTGCTGTGTCCCGGTTAGGTATTATCTCCATTAGCTTACTATATTACAACAGCAGGAGACAGGCTGGAGAGAGCACTGCGGCTCGGAGGATCGGGTGAGTATACCTTTTTCTTTTTGCCCTCAGGCAAAAATGAGCAGTTAACCCTTGCAGTGCAGCAGTAGCCCCACTGGAAGGGTTAATAAAATGTCTGCCCGCAGTTCTTCTTTAAATATAACAGATACAACAGATGTCACTGGCCTGGGTGTGCTGCCTGATAGGGATTAAAGACTGCCTAAACACAATTACTACGGACAGGCAAAACAATTCACATATATGAACTGTTTATTTAGCTGTGTGCGTGTTTAGTTTTAAGCCCAACATGAACTACAGAGCCAGAATATTGGACATTACATTATGTTGCTTTTGTAAAGCAATCCAATAAGTAAGCTGTATTGAAGACAGGAAGAGAAGACAGAAGTATTGAGGATATTGAGACAAATGGAAATCACTGCAGTGCTTGCCTCCCTACTTGTGAGATATGATGGTGGGTGGTAGCTGTTTGTGATCTCCGGCCAAGATACACTTTCTCGCCTGCAGTAGAGCGATCCAGCAGCTGGCTTCTATCGCCTGAGCGCACTCATCAATCACCACCAGGTCAAAGTAATTATCAGGAAGCAGTTTCAGAGGGCCGGCCGGGGAAGCACCTGGCAAGGAAAAGGGGTTTGGAAACAGATCAATGTGTGTACAAGTCCGTAATTTCACAATGAACAATTATTGATAATTAGGATGGAAATCCACTTTCCTAAATGAAACACTGAATATGCATGACTTGATGCCAGAAATCTGAGATCCCACAATCTGTTTTGCAAGGATTAGATGGGGGAGCGCTGACTCGGAGCCAAGACAAGTTACCAATCTTATGGAGAGGACATCAGTCAAGGTTTTGTGGGAAAAATGATGCAAACCCAATGTACAAGTTACCTTTAGGTAAAACAGACACTAAATATATATATCTATACTGTATCTATCTATATCTATCTATATACATATAGATATAGATATATACACACACACTATATTGCCGAAAGTATTGGGAGGCCTGCCTTTACACGCACATGAAATTTAATGGCATCCCAGTCTTAGTTCAAGAGTTGGCCCGCCCTTTGCAGCTATAACAGCTTCAACTATTCTGGGAAGACGTCCACAAGGTTTAGGAGTGTGTCTATGGGAATGTGTGACCAATCTTCCAGAAGCGCATTTGTGAGGTCAGGTACTGATGTTGGACGAGAAGGCCTGGCTCGCATTCTCCGCTCTAATTCATCCCAAAGGTGTTCTATCGGGTTGAGGTCAGGACTCAGTGCAGGGCAGTCAAGTTCCTCCGCCCCAAACTTACTCATCCATGCCTTTATGGACCTTGCTTTGTGCACTGGTGCGCAGTCATGTTGGAACAGGAAGGGGCCATCCCCCAAACTGTTCCCACAAAGTTGGGAGCATGAAATTGTCCAAAATGTCTTGGTATGCTGATGCCTTAGGAGTTCCCTTCACTGGAACTAAGGGGCCAAACCCAACCCCACACCATAATCCTTCCTCCACCAAACTTGACACTTGGCACAATGCAGTCATGCAAGAACCATTCTCCTGGCAACCGCCAAACCCAGACATGTTGTTGTGCCAATGTGAAGGCCACACGAAGTTTGGAGGTCTGTAGCCATTGACTCTGCAGACAGTTGGCGACTTCCCCGCTCTGTCATTTTTCGTGGCCGAGTTGCTGTTGTTCCCAGTTGCTTCCACTTTGTTATAACATTAACAGTTGACCGTGGAATATTTAGTAGCAAGGAAATTTCACGGATGGGCTCATTGCACAGGTGGCAACCTATTACTGTACCACGCTTGTATTCACTGAGCTCCTAAGAGCGAGCCATTCTTTCACAAAATGTTTGTAGAAGCGTCTGCATGCCTTGGTGCTTGATTTCATACACCTGAGGCCATGGAGGTGATTGGAACACCTGAATCCAATGATTTGGAGGGTGTCCCAATACTTTCGGCAATATCTTGTATATCACCTTCACAGTCATTAAATAGAAAGCAGGCTTCTACAGTCATGATATAAAGGACACCTCCGTTGGGAGACATATGAGTTACTCTGCCATTCTATTTATTTGCTTCAGGAAATATCTTTCACAAATGGTATATGAATCATAGGGTAAGAAGTCTATTTTAGCAAGGAATCAATAGCAGTAGTAAGTAAATGTGATGGAAGCAGCCCAATACATCATTTCAGTATTGTGTGCTGGAGGAGACTCCAGTCCTGACTGACCTGTGTTTGTACTGAGGATAACATTGGCGGCTTTTAACGTTTCGATCATGGCTGCCTCCTCGCGTTCTTTCAGTTCTCTCCTAAGAGCTTTCATTTCTGTTCTGAAGCCACCTTTTTCTTCCTTGCGCAGTTTTCTCATTTTTGCCTAGAAAATTTGACAATAAAATGAATGCACGCACCTATTGTATGAAGACTGTACAATGACATTTTATGGTATGCTGTACAAAAAAAAAAAAAGTATAATGGAAAATTAAACCAAAAGAAACAGCTATTCATCAAATTTGTAGATTCTATTGGAATTAAAGTATATGTAAAGCCATACAAAGTTTGGATATCCCCTCATTTGCTTTCCCAGTGACAATATTTAGTAAGGATGCACCAATACCGTTTTTTTCGGTATCGAGTACCAACATCTTTTTTCGGTACTCACCAATACCGAAAATCCCATTAAGGAAGCCAAACGGCGTGTAATGACTCGTCACGCGCTGCCCGGCCTCCTGATTGACCGGGAAGCCAGGTGACGAGGGAGCATGAAGCCGGCTTTCTGGCCAATCAGGAAGCCGAGGGGCGAGTAATTACTCACCGTCCGGCTTCCTGATTGACCAGTTTCCCGACCAATCAAGAAGCTAGGCAGCAAGTCATTATACGGACTGGACCAAGTGACGAGGGAGCATGGAGCCGGCCTCCTGGCCAATCAGGAAGCCGGGCAGCGTGTGATGACTCGCTGCCCGGCTTCCTAATACTGGAAGTTCGGGTATCGGGCTAGGCATCTGAGTATTTGGGCGAGAACTTGTACTCGACCAAATACTTAGTATTGGCACTGATACCGATACTAGTATCGGTGCATCCCCAATATTTATTATATTTAATATTTAGATTTTGAGTAAAGCTGGAATTACACTGCTTGAGTTTCAGACGATTCTTGCTGAATCAGCCAAAATTTGAGCTGTTGGTGGCCTTGTCAGCACCCCCTGCTCAACAAAAGTTGAGCAGGGTGTGAATCAAGGTACAGAGATAGCAAAAAGAGAGGTGAATCAGGTACACCTGATAGCAATAAAAACCTGACAGGGTTGCAAGACCTTCCCTACTCCATTGATATCTATGTATTGTTTTGTTATAAAGCCAATAGATTTTCCCTTAAAGCAGAAGTAAAGTCCACTGTGGGGGGTGGGTGGAGGGGGGCCCTTGCCATAATATGCACAGCATACTTGAACATTATGGTAGACTTACCTTACAAGGCTGCACTTCTCCAGCGTTGACCGATCTACTCTGTCAGATGCTGATATGTCCGCAGCGCCACCGTATCCTCCGCTGCTTCTTCTGGGTTCCCCGTTGTTCTGTTTGATCATTGGGCTGCCTGTGGTGACACAATTCCTTTGCTCATAGACGGAATGCATGCTCATAGTGAGTTACATCGTCCTCAGCACCCAGTTTTATCCCCGGCATACTATAGAAGCTGGGAAGGACCCGGGGTAGTACAATGGATGGTCCATGTGCAGTACAGTGTACACAAGAGATGGGGAAAAAAAACTGCTACAAGTCAGAAGCAGCTGTTTTTGGCAAAAGAGACTTGGCATGTCTATTCTGCCAAAAAACTCTCTAGCAGTTTTGTTTTTTTTAGGTTTACTTCTGCTTTAAACTATCACCCTTAATCTATATGCTATGCATCTTTAACAGCAAACCTATGTGCTGTGTATCTATAACAGCAAACCTATGTGCTGTGCATCTATAACACTTAACCTATATGCTGTGTCTGTTTAGAAGTCAAGTAAAGCTGCAATTACGCTGCTTGGGTTTCGGACAATTCCTGCTGAACCGGCCAAAATTTGAGCCGTTGGTGGCCCTGTCGGCACCCCCCTCCAGGTGTATGGCTAGCTTAAAAGTTATATATTGGTGACAGGTACACTTTCTCTGCAAAAATATCAGAGTTTAGCTTTGATTTCAGTTCCCAGTTTAAAAAAAAAAAAAGAAGGTTTTCTTCAATTTTATGAACTTATGTGTTGCGCATGTATGGCCCAATCCTTGTGAATGACAGTCATCTAAAGCATAATTTGTCAGTCGGGACAGGGTTGTTCTCTTATTTTAAGATACAAAAAAAGAGACTGTGAATGTAAATAAGGATATGCAGCATTCACTTATCAGCCACGTCAGGGAATGGAGTAGTAGTAGCAACCTTTATGAATAAGCCTACGGGTCAAACAAGTGAGAGGTTGTAGCTGGTTGGGGGTTTGCGGTCCTGGTATTTGGGTATTTGCGGTTACATAAACTGCATTTGCTGTGAGTTTTAATAAAGTCTGAAGTATTGGAATTCTCTGGATAGTGCGGTCTGTTCGTATACTACTACATTCCAAGGTGGAGACGCACCTATTAGACCAGCGCACCTGGAGAGTCCTGATGGCTGCTAAGGAATTGGAGCGGTGAGATTTCTTTTGATTCTACAAGTCAGGGAACGTATTGAGGAAAGTCCCATTAATGCAACATTGCCAGGAATGACTGGCAGACACCCCTCTTTCTAATGTTCTCAATGAGACGTCTGCCTTTCTAGAACCAGACTTAGGCTGGCTCTTCATAAATGTCAAAAAGGGGGCAAATGGAAACCCTCTGACCTCTGCCAAGCACCCGCCGGCCATGGACTACACACAGAACCATTTTTATGCATTTTGTGAACTTGGCATAGCTTCCCGAATACCATGTTTGGTCTGTGGCTTGGCACTGGCTTAAAATGCTTTTACTTGAAAACATCTGGGAGCAGCAGCAGCATGTGGCCCAGGTACTGGCACCAGACACATTTGTGTAGGATGAGCCTGAGGCTCAAGCTACGTGATTTATTTCAAATCAAACAAATGCAAATTGCACATGTAGCTTGAAAGAAAAAGAAAAAAACACAGTTGTGTATTTTTGAGTACACTAAACTGCTTATTATTCCATATCATTTGTGATGTGACTTTGACATCTGTATTGCTTTTTTTCCTTTTAGTCATCCTCAGAATTGCAGATTCACTTCTAGTGATGATTTGTGTATAGGATAATGGAATCCGTATCTTTACTGAGCGAATCCACAGAATGTGTGCAAAAGGCTCCAGTGTGAAGCTGGCCATACACCAGAAGAATATCATTCAAAAATGTTTGTTTTCAGAAAATTTCTTCAATCTCCTAATAGTTAATGGGGTCAAATCAACGATCGTAGTGCCAAAAAAAAATAGAGGGGACAGCATGTAAAATTTTTCCCGAACACACAAAATTCTTACAGAATATGTGGTTTTCATTTGGAAAACTTAATCTCCAAAATTCAATGTTAAAGTCAAATGAAACTTCGAATCACATATGACAAGTCTCTGATGGCATTATTGAATGTTCCAACAGGATTTTTCATATGACCGTTCATGTGAGAATCGATCAGCTTACCTGCACTCCTCTGGCTCTGGGAGTCGTGATACTGCCACATGGAGCCAAGAGAAGGAACAGCTGAGAACTGCTTTAAAACATGGAAAGTTCAAAAGAGAACAGAAGAACTAGTGCCGAAATGTCTGAAATGTCCATAGAATACCCAGTGGCGTCACAAAGGGGGTGCGGCCTGCACCCGGGTGACACCATTGGAGGGGGTGACACCAAAATGACTGAAGGTCATTTTGGTGTAGCCCCCTCTGAAAAGTTGGGCACTCAGTCATGGACCAAGAGCCCGACAGTTGCTCGAGAGAGAGAGAGAAGGCGACCCGGCGGCATACCTTATCCCGCCGGGTGATGTCCCCTTCTCTCTCTCTGCCAGCATCCATCACCAAGATGGCCACCGGCAGGTAACAGCACCTGACGTCATCACGACCGTGCGGGATGACGTCACTGCGGGGTGTCACCCGGTACTCGCACCGGGTGTCACCCCGCATCAGGACGCCTCTGAGAATAAACACGTAGCAGACAAAGAGCAACAGGTACAGTAATATAGGGGAGGGGTAACATTTCTTTGTTTCAAACTCCTACATGCAGGAACTAACACTAAAAGGTAATTCCAATAACTTATATGAGAAAGTCAGTTACAGGATAAGTCACCTAATGACTGCATCACCATTTCCTTGAAAGGAGATTTATTGGGAGAGTAAAATGTTCCAAATAGTTTGAGCTGGAGCGCGACACTGCAGCAGTCACACATGGGCTCTATAGCTCAAGAACTGAATGATCACAAACCGTAGACTCATGGCTTCTCCCTGTAGAGAGTAGTGACCGTCAGTCACCACTTCCTGCAGGGATTCCCCCCTCCCCTTTCTCTGTTCCTCCAGAGCTCATTAGAGGGTTCAGACATGGGGAGGGGGCGGGCACGGCTGGCTGTGGCTCTAGAGCGGCAGAGCCAGCTGTCAATCAGGCAGCGGGGTGGATTCCCACAATATTAGCTCTGCGCTGTCAGCATATAGCGAGCAGCAGCCTGCTATATGCTGACTTTAGGGCACAAGAGTATATTAGTATAGTTCTTCTTTAATTACTCATTTTGGAATTTACACACTTGGACTAAGATAAAGATTAGTAAACTGCAATCATTCTGCTGTGCTACTGAAAAAAACAAAATCAAGTCAAGAAAAAAACCAAAACAGATTGTTTCGAAAACAATACTTACAAACGTCAGATCGATATCTTTGCGGATGTCAGCAACAATCTGAGCGTTATCACTACGTGCCAACACAGCGTCCAGAGAGTGGTGCTGCAAGGATTCCAGAAGACGTGCAGGATGCCCCAAACGTAATATCCGCTCTTTGTAAGCAGCCAGGCGCTCTACTATATTGTCCACGGCTACATTGGAAGGAGCGCAGCAAAGGACCTAGGGAAAGAAATATCAGACATCTTAGCTTGTCAGAAGCATCCAGAAGATCGCACTTATGGTAGTATGAGGCCGCTGAAAATAGAGGTCTCATGAGCTAGTTATTAATAATGGAATTTAAAGCTGCACTCCATGCATGCAGCCAGATGCAAATATATGGAAACTGTCTTTCCAGCCAAAGGGTCTGTAATTCTATTCTCCTAACCGACGCATCCCTGGCACACAGCAGAGCCAGTTCTTCTATCCCTCTCAACACTTAACAAGTTCTAGTACCTGTGCGGATTCCTGATAGAGCAGGCCACCTCCCACTGCATTCCTGTGACCTCACTTGTGCCTGCAAAGTGCTGAGACAATGAGATAAGAACTGTCAATATAGAGGTTGTCTCCTTTGCAAAGTGTGGCCAGGAATGGGGAGGAGTGAGCTGTCAAAGTCTATATCTCAGTTTCTACTGCACACAGAAGCATGGGATAAAAGGCAACATATACTGTAGAAGTTAGGTGACTGTGAAAAATAATAAAGGCGAGACTTCTTTTTTAACTGCAGCAGCAGTACAGCCTGTTCCACGTCACAATAGTGATAAGTCCCCACTCTGCTCTCTCCTCCTGTTGGCATGTTTTTCATTGACATCACATATGCAATGCAACAAAGCCTGACTGACTCCTCCTATCCTAGCCTAAAACCTGTTGTACGTGGGAATACAGAATGCTAATATAAAGATTAATATCAAAATACACTCATACATACTAGTTGCATTTAAAATAAATTTAATGATTTCTTTTTAGACTGTAAGCCCTCAGGGGCGGGGCCCTCCTTACCATCTTGTCTTGAATTGTGTTGTAATTGTAATGTCTTCCTTATATTGTAAAGCGCTGCGCAAACTGTTGGCGCTATATAAATCCTGTATAATAATCATTTCCTAATAAATACAAAAGAGCATTAGCTACTCTTTTAAATCTGCCTGGAGTTAAATTTGCTGAACTCCAAGCAGATATAAAGGACAACTTAATGCAGCTCTGTGATCATTAATATATTACCAAATGTATTTTAATGCGAGCAATGCAAGTAATTCAGTTTGGCTTGGTATCAGCCTACTGCAGCCCACTATACAGCAAAGGTAATGTAAGGATAGGAACTTGGAGAAAACTGGGACACAGCCGCAATAAAAACATTTTTTTGTAGGATAGTGAAAGGGCAGGGCCTCCTTCAGCTCTTTATTCATGCCTCTGTTGAAGATTACACTCATTTTCTGCTATGGTGACACCTTTGTCGTCAGGACAGCAATCAAAACCGACAAAGTTTTTTGTTTAGGTTTTGCTATGTGAATGGGAACATATAAGAAATATAAAACATTTGTTATCCCAATATGGCTGCAAAAGTGGAAATACACTTTAACCCCTTCGTGACTGACGACGTACAGTGTACGTCGCCAGCATCGGGGCTGTTTAAACAGAAGAGATCTCCCTTACAATGTTTTGATTCTCCCTCTACCCAAGATCAGTCCGTAACCTTCATTTTTTTTCATTGTAAAATTACCGTTGATGTCACTAGTAATGGCCAAAATCCTTGCTATGGTCAGGTGCAGGAAGGAGGGTCCTGCGTAGGGCCACATGTCTCTTCTGACATAGCCCCATGTGGCACACAGAACTACATATTCCATCAATATTTGGGATTAGATTGATAATTTGGGTGGCGACAGGGGAGTTCCTTCCTGTCTGTCACAGCCCTCTAGCCACAAGCTGCTGTCATACACAGGGCAGGGAGAGAGAGGGATCCGAAAAAGGAGCTATCCACATAATTACATCAGTCCTCTATAAGACTACAAGGGGCTCTTTCACGACCGGTTGCCCTGCGCAAGGGAGAGAGCAGTGGTGGCCACGCGGCTGTAAACAAAACAAGGGGTCAGGGTTTTGCTTTCAACCATAGGAATGGCTAGATATCTTGTCACAGGAGGCAATGTAGATTTGAACAGACCACGTCTAAACAACAAAATAGCTATTGCATACATAAATGTCCGAATTGCCCGGGGTTCAGCTTTAAACACTGTGCACCCTAACTAAACCGAAGCATGCCCAGACCTAATTGTGCTCTGCACTGCACTTAGGGCTGCATGAGAGTCTATAGAGAGAATGATTAGATCTAGGTTGGTAGTGTAGCAGCTGATGTATGACCGTCATTACAAAAATCCATAGAAAAAGTGTCAATACTCCATGTTTTGTCCATTGTCAATATAAAAACCCAAAGTGCCAGGGGTTAAGCAGTCCTTTTATGAAAATACATTTGGCAAAACTCATATGTACCTTAGGCTAAGTTCACCTTTTGCAAAAATTAAAGAAATGCATAATTAATAATATATAAAAACAAATATGCATTTCTTTAATATTTGCATTCAAGCCTGGAAAGCATTGCAATTGTGATCACTTGACCAGGGCTGCAGGGCTCAGGCTCCTTCACATTCTATACCAGGCAGAGCTCCGTACTGAGTTCCAGTTAGGAGATGGGGAAGGACAGCTGGACTTCAAACTGCATTAAATCACCTCATACAGCATCCAGCCGTCCTCGCTCTAGGTAGAGCTGCCCATTCCTGCATCTACCTAGAGCGAGGATGGCTGGACGCTGTACGTGGTGTTTTAATGCAGTTTGAAGTCCAACCGTCCTTCCCCATCTCTCCTAACTGAACCTCTGTACCTCAGCATGGAGCTCTGCCTGGGAGAGAATGTGCTGAAGTTTGAGCTTTGCAGCTGTGATCGAGTGATCACAATTGCAATGCTTTCCAGGCTTGAATGCAAATATAAAAAAATGTCTTTTTATATATATCATTAATTATGCCTTTAAGGTCACTGGCTACAAATTTTGCCAATTTATGTCCACTACCTGGCAGTTTCTTTAGGGTTTCAATGTAAAGGAAGTAAATACAGTTATAGGACAATCACCGTCTGACAGGTCTCACCCCAATATACTCAATGTACTTCATTATCATTCCTTCCATAAACCAGTTTACTGGCAAGAAAGCAACATTGGCTTTTTGTAATCACATTTTTTAATCCACTGAAGACGTGTTGCTGCCTGCTAGTCTAGGCCCAACAAACAATATTTTTGTCGAAAGCAGTGTTAGGATCAGCAGCAGGTGTCCTAATAAAAGTGATTGAATTCTACATTGTAACATAGCACAACTGTTTACAGAGAAGAACAGAGAGTTCTGACAAGCACAACCCTCATCTCACCTTTAGCCCTTGCTTCACAGCTTGGAGGATGATTTCTACCACCGTTGTCGTTTTACCAGTACCAGGGGGGCCGTGAATAATTGCAACTTCTCTCTGGTTTAAAGAAAAAACAACTGCCTCCTTCTGTGAATCATCCAAAGACGGATTGAGAAATTCCACAGGCCCTAGAGGCACAGGAAAAAAATTAACAGAAATGCCAAGTAAACCAAAAAACAAAGGCTGATTTAAAACCAACCTGTGCTGACACACACTATAAACCACTACTTTTCCTGGAGAGAAGGCAGCATAAGAGGTTAAGAATGTTAGATATCAGATTCTATATGCCAATAGGTGTCTCTTTACATGCATATTTACAAAAGTAGTACATTTGGGGTAGTTAAAACGGACGCGGTAACTCTAAGGCTGGGTTCACACCTGGGCGTTTTTCAGCGCTGATCGAATCGCTGAAAAACACTCAAGATGTGAAATCCTATGAATACCTATGGACATGGTTCCCACCTGGGCTGATTTCAGCCCGTTTTGTCGCGCTGAAAAACGACCTGCACGCGGAAAAGTACTTGAGCTTTTTTTTTCCGCGCGAAGGGGCAGATTTCAGCGCGTATCCTTTAGTATTCCCGAGTGTGGCTCGGGGTTAACAAAGCAGTAACCCCAAGCCACACTCAAGAATACAGCGTAGGTCTTACCTTGTCTGCGATCCCCGCTGTGTCCTCCGGCCGCTGCCGTCTTCCGGCTACCGTCCCTTGCGAGCAGGGGGGCGGAACAGGCGGGAAGTTTAAAAGTTTAAAAAAAAAACGAAAAACAGATAGAGAGAAAAAAATGAATAAATCATACTGCCAGGGAGGTTAAAAAACGAGTGTCGAACGCGCGTTTCATTGGAGAAAAAAAACGTGCATAAAACGCGCCCATTAAGAACGCCCAGGTGTGAACCTAGCCTAAAGCTGGCAATAGACCTTTCAATTTCTTTTGTTCTACTTACATTCTGAACGGAAGAAATTTACGCGATTCCTCCAATAACACAGTCAGAATAGCCTATCGGAGTGGGCAGCTCATAGGCTGCCAGTTCTGATCATACGAAGATTTTCCAGCCGGCTCCTTCGATCAGCTGATCGAGGAATGCCGGCTGAAAGGGAGCCGACGGCCCCATACACTGGTCGAATTTCAGCCGGCACATTCGGCCAGTGTATGGACACCTTTAGAAAATAAATCTGCCGATAGGTATAAAGTGCTGGAACTGCAAATGCTTATGGCCATTTCTAGTCCTGCATTCTGCCCAGCTGCCAGGCTGTTCTGATTTGGTGAAGCTTCGGCAATTCCTGGTAGTGTCAAAAGCTTGCCCGTGTACTCACACCTTATAGAAATTTCTATTGCCCAGTGAGAAAGCTCTTCATAGTGTTGTGCTCATAGAAATGTATGGGTGGAGGATGTGGCGGTGAGGCTGTGACGCTACCCAGAAGTTTCTCAGCATTGCACAATGGTACTAAAAGCCTTCAAGTGAAGTGACTGCACTTTGTACCAGTCAGCAGTTTTTTCCATTAAGGAATCAATGTACAGCAAACCTGCACTGACATACTGCTCTGCAGACTCAGATTTTTACTGTTCGCAAGCCAGCACACAATGCCACAGCACAGTTTTAGTTTCATTCATTTACGCAGATTGCTACTGAAGCCTCAACCAAAGTGCCAAATGCAAGGGGTTCTGTAAATGGGCAAGGGGCAGATGAATGGCAGGATCACCCTTGCCCGTTCATAGAATGCATTGCATTCTGGGAAAATAATTCAAGGAATTTTGTGAATGGGAGAAGGAACAAAAAAAGGTGATGAGGACAGCACGATGCCTTCACAGTCATATCTCTCATCCTTGTAATACAAAAAGATCACAGCTGTGGGGAGTTCCCGGCATCACTGAAAAGATGTTTTTGATAGTATTTTTTATTTATTACAGGTATTTATATACCACCGACAATTTACGTAGCGCTTTACATACTGCACATTCACATCATTCCCTGTCCTCGAGGAGCTCACAATCAAGCCCCTATCTCACATGCACACAGGGCTCATTTAGACAGGAGCCAATTAACCTTCCAGCATGTCTCTGGAGTGTGGGAGGAAACCAGAGTACCCGGAGGAAACCCACACAAGCACAGGGAGAACATTAGGGCTGCAACAACTAATCGACATAATCGATTATTGAAAAAGTTGTCAACTTTTTAAATCATCGATTAATCGGCTTCCGAATGCTTGGCCCTGTTGACAGCTCCACACACGCTGCGCGCCACACCTCCTCCCCACCTCACACTCGCTGCTGCCAGATCCGCGCATCCACGCTCCACACCTTCTCCCCGCATCACGCTCACCGCCCGCCCAAATCCACAATCGGCACAGGGACGCGGGGAGAAGAAGTAAGGAGGAGCAGGTGTGGGCGGATGACAGCCGCCGATAAACAGGCCCGATCTCAGAAACAAGTTGCTGGAAGACTGCTCAGGTAAGCCTGCACTTTCCCACACATGGTGCTCTATAATGTATTGCTGGGATTTGTATTCCTCTATAGCTGATGGTACATTGTGCTGTATATTATACAGAGCAATGTACCATCAGCTATAGAGGACTACAAATCCCAGCAATACATTATACACTCTATGTATAGTGTATTGCTGGGACTTGTTGTACTCCTTTATAGCTGGTGGCATTCTGCATTGCGCTGTATAGAGGACTGCAAATCAAGGAATACATTATACAGCGCAATGCGGAATACCACCAGCTATAGAGGAGTACAACAAATCCCAGCAATAATACATTATACAGTGGTGCAATGCCGAATACCACTAGCTATAGAGGACTACAAAACCCAGCAATGGTACATTACACAGCACAATGCAGAATACCGCCAGCTATAATGTACTATTGCTGGGATTTGTTGTAGTCCTCTATAGCTGGTGATATTCTGCATTGCGCTGTATAATGTACTATTGCTGGGTTTTGTAGTCCTCTATAGCCGGTGCCATTCTGCATTCATTGCTGTATAATTTTACACTTTTCATTTCACTATATTGCACACCACCCTTTTTTTTTTCTTTTTTACTTCCACCGCTCCAAGCTTGCTCCTGTGATGGACTGCAAACTCAATACAAACTAGTCATCCCATCACTGGAGCCATTTTTTAAAATTGATTTTCTTTTTTATCCGATTAATCGAACTTAATAAATCGGCTAACTAATCGATTTTGAAAATAATCGTTAGCTGCAGCTCTAGAGAACATGCAAACTTCTTGCAGATAGTGTCCTGACAGGAGTTTTAACCAGGGAGCCCCAGTGCTGCAAGGCAGAAGTGCTAACCACCAGGGCCGGCCTTAGGGGTGTGCGAGCAGAGCGGCCGCACAGGGCGCCATGAAACCACTAAGCTACCCAGCAAGACGCTGGAGGTAACTTAAGTAATTGGTTCTGTAGCCCCCCAATACATTTTATACTGGAGTTCAGATTTAAAATTTCTCAGTAAGGAAATGGTTGACAGGAGCTCTGTTCTCATGTCTGCACACAATTTTATTCTGCCATGCAGGTTTATCATTTTACTTTACTCTATTCACGTGCTGACCGCTTATTTGTTTTAGTATTTCCTAAAACTGAAATGCGTATGAGGGCTGGACACCAATGTGGTGAAGGGCTACAGGCAAATGTAAAAATGCAATTAGCAAAACACTTAAAGAAAAATGCTTCATGTATCAGAAGTGCTTGCTCTGGCTGCTGAAAGAGAGAACAAGAGTGAACGACACTCAGTCTGTGCTAATCTCCTGCTAATGATTATAAACCTAAGCTCCGACAGTCTCATGCTTCAAAAAACTATGGAGGGCTGGGGAGTTTAGTCATGCGCAGGGAACTAGCATGTCTTAGTAGGTGCATCTGTGACACACGCTGGCTTATTAAAGGAGAACTATGGGGTTAGGGCTTTTCCCCATAGTTCTCCTAAGGGCAACGGGAGGACACAAACTAGCGTCCTCCCGTCACCCTTAGCTCAGTATACCGCAAGCTAAATTTCGCGGTATACTGAGACGCCGCAGCCGGAACAGATCCCGACAATTCTCTCTGGATCCACCCAGCTGCGTGAGTGACAGCGGGCTTTGCCTATCTAGAGACAGAGCCAGCTGTACCCGCCCCCTCCCCCACCCGTACCCCCAGTCAGCGCTGGAGTATCGCACAGGGGAGAGGGAATCCCTGCAAGGCGACGTGAGTGACAGTCACGGCTCTCTACATGGATAGATCGAGAAGTGAGCGAGCGTCGGTATGTGTTCGCTCACTTCCCGATCTACTGAGCCGACCTGTGACAGTTTCATTGTCACAGGTCGGCTCAGATTATGAGGCTGAGTGAAAATCACTTGCCTCATAATTCTCCTTTAATGCAAGACCATACTGAAAAGTTAAAGTTTGGAGGTTTGGCCACACAATCTCTGTTAAAGTAGAGGATTGAAAGTCATACTGACCAATCCTCCCTTACAGCAGAGATGGCTTGGCTTTTGGTAATTTGAACAGGACTAGAGGGACACTCTAGCAGTATTTTTTCCTGAAAATGTATTTCAGCCTCTCCATTACTGTTGTTTGCCCTTTTGCAGTTACTGTGCTGATAATACTTAATGATGGTCTCACTTGACAACCCAGCACTGCTTGGTTCAGATGATCCGAAAAGAACATCTATGATGGAAGTTGCAGGTCCTGTGTGGTACTGATTCAGTGTGGTCAAAGCCCTGTAGATGAATGAAGAAACATTATTTAGGAATAAGAATGTTCTCCAAAGAGTATTTTAGCCCTTGTATTTATGTTATAATCGATCCATACCAGCAAATCTGCGAATTTTGATGTAAATTGGAAAAGTGAATATTTGCTATCTTATAAGGAACATTTAGAAATGTTAATTGTATCCAAAAGGTACCCTAAGAAAATATAAACCTTTTGTAACTGAGCTCCAAAAAAAACAACCGTGCATGTTCTGGTATGAGTGTGTGCCTCGGTGCTCCTGTGCTTACAGACTCATAGCTGTGTATCTGCAATGTGAATATCAGGCACTGCTGCCTCTGACTGCTCATTTTGGGAGATCTTGAAAGAGATTTGGTGATTTTACTGTTGTGATGCTCTCGGTTCCCTTTGCTGAAGACTAACATGAGAAAGCAAAGCCCTGCCAAGATAGCCATCTCCACAAAGAGTCGCAGTGCAGAACAAGGCATGGTAAGCCAGCTATAGAGGGACCACGGGCAATACCGGTGACTATGATATAAAAGGCTTGTTGCACTCCTTACCGGAAAGTCCCATGTTCAGGGAAGGGTGCTTGGAATGACTGCGGATGGTTCCGCCAATTGCACATAATATGAGAGAGATATCACCAGCACACCGAGTTCCTTCAAGAATAATCAGTCGTGGATTTATTGAAAACTCATGCCAAAAACACAAGCGTTTTCGGGGCCGCACCGGGTCCCTTCATCAGGCATAGCAATGGCGATGCTAAGGTCATTGCTATGCCTGACGAAGGGACCCTGTGCGACCCTGAAATCGCTTGTGTTTTTCACAGGAGTTTTGAAAAAATGCACGCTTGATTATCCTTGAAGGAACTCGGAATACTGGTGACTAGTCCTTTGTTCTTTGCCCTCTGCCTGCCTTTTTTTTGCCTTAACTTCCAGAGTTCATTTAGTCCCTGTTCACACCTGGGCATTTTGACGCTCAAAGCTAAGAACGACAAAACTCTCAAACACAAGAAATCACACCTGAGAGTTTTGTTGCAAGCTGTAAAACGCTGAACGCTGGAAAAGGTACATGAGCTTCTTTCAGGCAGATTGCAGCGCGTTTAGCCACATAGACTTGAATGGAAGCGCATAAAACTGCGGGACACAAGCACTTTGCACATTTCTGTGCGCGTTTAATGCTCATTACTGCTCACGTTTGCTCATTCACCGCAATGCATTTCAATCTGCTCAATAAAGCGTGTGTCTTTATGTATGCGCATCTAACACGTGTAAAAATGTGCATAACGCACAAAACCGCGCCAAACTTGCTAGATGGTATGCTTCAAAACGAAAATGCTGACGCCTAGGTGTGAAGGGACACCTACTCTTTAAGAGCATGTGAGCCAAAAAGAGCCAGTCTGTAAAATGTTCAAGTCCCATGGACCCAGCATCTGAAATTTGAGTCTCCTTTGACATTTTAGTGCAGCTTTAACTAAAGTGATGACAAGATTTACATTTTTTTTTACATGTATTCTCTCCCTGTGAAAGCAGAGGTGTAAGTCTGAGTATCAAGCTGTAAGGCTGCCCTGTCTCCTGCCTAAGCTCAATGTTGATAAAAGACACTGACAAAACTGTCATATAACAAAGTATACAAGTATATTGAAAGTATTACCCTGCCCCAGCAGTCCAGGACAAGGCAGCCTCCATGGGAGCATTACTGCTATTTGTGCGCCATCAGGAAGAGAATACAAATGAGTAAGAGTATACATAACTATCCTTGAAAGGTAACACTGCACTGCCAACTGAAGAGTAGAAATTCACATTTTGTTTTCCTATTTAAATAAACCAGAACATTAAAGATCCAGGCTTCAAACTAAAGAGACAAAACAACAATGTACATACAATAAATGTGAAAGGTATAAAATAAATGTGACTTACTTTTTTATCCTTTTGTAAGTAACGTCATTTGCCAACTTCAGAAGCCTGTATGTACTATCACTTCCCAGATTTAAGGCCTCACTATGAGTGTCATCAAAGGCTACATTGATAACTTTCTGTGTGACACCAGACACAATGCCGGTAGCAAGAGGCTCATTCGGGCTGATGGATTCATAAACACCCACAATGTCCCCTGCAACAGAGAAGCACATGAATGGGATAATGCAGCTCTAATTGAAAAACACCCAACAGACAGTAAGCAGTTATTCTGCCACCATGCCGGACATGAAAAAAAAACAGGGTTTGGTAAGCCAGATAGAAATAAGGATGTAATTGTTGATCTCTTTCTGAAAATGCCAGCTGCCTGGTTGTCATCTGGCCCTCTGGCTTTACTTACCGAGTCCCTGACTTAAATTAGGGTAGATCGTACCTTTGGCGGAAACCCAACACACAGGCTGTCCATGACGTCCTACTTCTGCTTGTTTGGAGCTCAATGGATTCAGGACTTTTTGAGTCACAGAGCTGGAACAAGCATGCAGAAAATAGTCACAGGGGTTGATTTATAGCTCTTTCACCCAACATATAACCGGGCAGATGACATTCACATGGCACTACCTCCACTAGATGGCGATGAGGAACATAGGAATCTCCTCCATCTAGTGGCAGTAGTGCTCTACGAACGTCATCCGCCCGGCTATATGTCGGGTGGTAGAGCTATAAATCAACCCCTATGTCTATTTTCTGCATGCTTGTTCCAGTACGGATGCCGTTCGTAGAGCACTACTGCCACTAGATGGAGGAGATTCCTATGTTCCTCATCGCCATCTAATGGAGGTAGTGCAATGTGAATGTCATCTGCACGGCTATATGTTGGCTGGAAGAGCTATAAATCAACCCCATGACTATTTTCTGCATGCTTGTTCCAGCTCTGTGACACAAAAAGTCCTGACTCCATAGAGCTCCAAACAAGCAGAAGCAGGGCGTCATTGACATCCTGTGTGTTAGGTTTCCGCCAAAGGTACGATCTACCCTAATTTAAACAATTAGCATGACAACATACTAACACACACACAGAGGGAACAAGTGAACTGTTGTTTGACTTTTGGTTTTCACCCAGGCACCATGCCACCCAACTGTGTAGTAACCTGGCATCCAGAGGCATTTATTTTGTATGGAAGGTATTCCAAATCCATTCCCTGAAGTATCTCTGCAATTTCATTATGCACACTGCATATAATTCTGAGAGAGGCTAAACGCACTCTTGCTTCGCACACCATCTATCATTCAGAAATAGACTACTCACACTCTTGCTTTACACACTGCAGTCTATGCAAAGTGATATTGATTTTTAGACAGAAGGGAATTATTTGTAAGAAGATGCAGGCTTGCCACCAAGCATCATGAAAGCTTAACTCAATCTAGTCATCCTCATTCTGCAGGAGATCACGGAAAATGTATGCAGAACTCAGATTACATTATGTAGAGTGGAGTTTTTGATGTTAGCATAGCTGCAGTCTTTCCTGGATTGCATTAGTATTTCAGTGAAACATTTCTATTGTTATCTGGAATTGTGCTTTGAGAAATATAGACTTTCAGAAACACTTTGCAATAGAATATACGCTGCCGGGCAAAAAAAAAAAAAAAAAGGTTACACACTCTTAATATTTTTTTGGTGCCGCCTTTAACTTTGATTACAGCGCGCATTCGCCGTGGCATTGCTTCGATAAGCTTATGCAATGTCACAATTTTTCACCAAGATCTTGTAGTGGGAGAGTCGGACCACTGCGTAAAGTCTTCTCCAGCACATCCCAAAGACTCTCAATGCGGTTAAGGTCTGGATGCTGTGCTGCCCAATCCATGTGTGATAATGATGCCTCATGTTACCAGTATGTGAAACAATTTTTATGGACTGCCTTTTAAGCCTAAATTAATTTAAAGGAGAACTATGGGGTCAGGGCTTTTCCCCATAGTTCTCCTTACAAACTAGCGTCCTCCTGTCACCCTAAGCTCAGTATCTGTAGCTCGCGGTATACTGAGACGCCGCAGCTGAAGCGGATCCCGACAATTATGTCTGGATCCGCCCAGCTGCGTGAGTGACAGCTGGCTCTGCCTATCTAGAGGCAGAGTCAGCTGTACCCGCCCCCTCCCCAGTCCGATCTGCCAGTAAGCGCTGGCGGATAGGAGAGGGGAGAATCCAGCCCCTCACCTGTCATGGCAGAGAGCCGTGACAGGATCGAGAGGTGAGCGAACGCTGGTATGTGTTCGCTCACCTGCCGATCCACTAAGCCGACCTGTGACCGTCTCATTGTCACAGGTCGGCTAGAACTATGAGGTGAGTGAAAAGCACACACCTCAAACCGCCTTTTTGATGCGCTATTCTCTATAGCGAATTAAATCCATTTTCTTGATGCCTCATGCTCCCTGAACCACTCTTCCACAATTTGAGTCCCATGAATCCTGGCATTGTCATCTTGGAATATACCCAATGTGCCATCAGGATTGAAAAAATCAATTGATGGAAAAACCTGGTCATTCAGTATATTCAGGTAGTCAGCTGACCTAATTATTTGGACACATAAGGTTGCTGAACCTAGACCTGACCAACTGAAGCAACCCCAGATCATAACACTTATCCAATGGAAGGCTCTTACCTTTTTCTTAGCTAAATCCAGGTAGAGACTTTTGCAATGTATTTAGAAAATCGTATACACAGGATTGATTAGAGAAAAAGGTAAAATTGTGTGGAGGCAAACTAGAGGCTGGCTATATGATAAAGGAGCCCATAGTCTTACTTCAGACTTCCTCTACAGATGTAAAATAAACGGACCATCGCCAACTTTCCAATCCTGACGTTATCAATCTATATAATGATCAGGAAGGAAAGAAGGTACTTTAAAACCTTGGTTCTCAACGGGTGGGTCGTGACTCCATGTTCAGTGGGTCGATGCGTGCCTTCCACTTTTTCAGGCAAGAGGCTTTCTCGGTCTCTTCCTAGAGCAACAGTCAGTTCTCGCACCAAGCAGCATTCAAAACACGCTGTCTGGTGCCGAGTGTCAGCTTGAGGTAGGGTGAGCTGGGGCTATGGCCGTGAGGGAGCTCCATCAATAGCTGCATTGCTTACAGCTCCTTCCATATAGGCACCTGGATCGGAGTGACATCACATTCGGGCTCCCGGCACCTCTACAGGGCGCGAAATGGAGCAGTACAAGCAATGCACATATAGATGCAGCTCCGTCACAGCACAGCTGACCACACTGGACCCCACGCTGAGGATCCACTCCAGTTCTCGAAAATTAGGAAGACTAAGATACATTTTTTTGCAGTTTGTATATGTGTGTGTGAGAATGTCTGAGTGTGTGAGATTGTGTCTGTGTGTCTATCAGTGTTTTTGAGTATTAATTGCACAGTCTCGGGCGATTATTGCACTGCACCATGCAAACGCATCCACTGTGCGTTCTGGGGCGGGAGGTGCGCTGCGCTGCCATTCATTTGAATTATCCCCCAAATGCATCTCCCACCCACAGTTCGATCGCCTGCACCAGAACACGTAGTACAGCAATGCCGTGCATTCCATTGCCGTGTGGCTTGGGTCACGACTTAATAACCAAGGACAAATGTGGGTCCCGAAGTTACACAGGTTGAGAACCACTGATTTAAACCAAAGACTGTATTAACCCTAGTACATGGGTTTCAAGCAACTGTTCCTAATGTTCCCAGAATGATATGGGAGGTTGTCATCTAGTAAAAAACTAAACAAATCCATTGCAGATTGGGCCAGTCACCATTTAGAAGAAGTCTCAGGTTGCCTGATCTGCTTATGTATAGACAGTTTGGGTGATTTTTCTTTGGAATGCGTCCGCCTAAGGAGAAGGGAGAATAAGTAAGCAACAAGTCTATCAGTGAGCTACTAATGCTAGCCAGGAAACACTGTTACTCTGACTAATAAGTCTCACCTTGTATTATTATTTTTACCTGGGGGGGGGGGGGGACTTCGAGACAGCCAAACAGCATCGAGCCAGCTTCCCGGACAATCAAGAAGCAGAGTGGCATGTAATGACATGCCACTCAGCTTCCTGACTGCCAGGGAAGCCGGCTCTATGCCAGCAGAAGTACCGGTATCGGTACTGGCGAGTACCGAAAGATAAATATCGGTAACTGAAAAACGGGTATCAGTGCATCTCTAAAGTGGACCCATGTTAGGTCTATGGGAAGTTGGATGTACTGTAAGCGAACATGTGCCCATTTACATCAGATTACTTTTGATCCGTCCCATTCAGGTCTGTCAAAACGGACCCCTGCTCCTTTTTTTTTTTTGTGGACCTGAGCGGACTTGGAGGAAATTGGATGTAAACCGACGCACGTCCATTTACTTCTGATACCCCATAGATTAACACAGAGCTTCTGATTAGATCAACCTGAAAAACTGACAGGCGGATCTGAACGCCATGTGGAAGGGCCTAAGGGTTAATTACCTCAAAAGGGATGCCGACACTGCAACTTTCCTCATTAAAACACAGAAAGTCCCACAGGTGGTTATAATGAATCCAGACCCTCCCATTCAGAAATCAGTGTGGTAGAAATGTGCAACGTACATTAATCAACCAGAGGGGATTGTTTTAGTCTCAACATAAGTGGGGTTACTCTTTAAATATACACATATAAATGGCATTACGATATCTGGTTGTATGTGTGCTATGTACTAGTTGTGCTGCGCACATTATAAATGGCCGATACAAATAAATATCCTTCAGTAGGTGGTTCATCTTTGGTAGGTATGATGGATTTGCTGCTGTGAAACAAAATTGTTGCATATCAAGTACCTGATCCGAAGCTGTTACTCGGCAGCACTGCTTCAGCGTCATACTTCCTGGGTGTGAAGGTTACCAGAAGGCGTCCGTACAGCCCTGTTTTTTGGTTTGCTACCTGCAGCTTCAGCAGACAGACTCCCTTCCTCTGTAATTCTTTTAAGGAGACATTTTCCCGCCAGGTCCTGCAGATACAAAAAAACCACAAATGAGTTGCTGTACTATAAGGGATCCATGTATAGACAATTGACAGAGCCATTCGCCCGGCAAATCTTACTGAATGTTCTTCCTGGGCTAATAGACGCAAAAACAAACGTTCTTGGATATATTGTATGTATGTAATGTAAAGGTAGATTTTGGCCTCTAGATGCAGCATTACATTACATACATTCAACCTGAAAAAAATATACATCTAAGAATGTTTGTTTAACATATATTTGCACAGAATGAAGGTCGAGAAAGATTTGCAGGGCGAATGGCTCTGTGAATTGCTTATAAATAGACCCCTAAGTGTATAAGAGTGGCTCTCATATATAAAATTCCTGGGATTTGAGGCCCATGCTCTCACTTCACAAGAACCTTGATAAATGCAAAGCACCATGTTTGACATTTGTCCTCAATCCAGTTCTCCAGCAGTCAGCATTGAAAACTGCCAGCCATTTACCAGTGACATCATGCAACTCATGGTGTTGCTCAGTTCCCCTTATGCTATTCACATCTTTGACACAATCAGGGCCCAGAAGAAACGTTTCCTAGTCAGGCAAGATGTAGAAAACATGTGAGCGGGGGAGCTTTACACCATGGCCTGTATTAATAAAATGCTTGCAGAGAGAACAGCTCTGCGAAGCTATAGGTTTTAGATTTGCGGCACATTATGGCCACTAGATGGAGCCGAGGAGCATATGCTCCTCGGCACCATCTAGTGGCCATATTGTGCTTTGCATCTAAAACATAGACGTTCGCAGAGCTCTTTGCTCTGAGAACGTTTTATAAATACACAACTATAAGTTGCATAGTGTTGCTGGTAAATGAATGGCCATTGTGCTTGTAATCATAGCCCCGCCCCATCCCTCTTATCTGATCAGATTTATAGGAGAAGTATTGGGAGAGTAAAATTGACTCTTCCCAATACTTAGAGCTGCAACTGAGACATGGCGGCTCTATTGATCGAGAACTGAGCAATTGCAAACTGCTGATTACTCAACACATGGCTTCTCTCTGTAGAGTGGTGGCTGTCAATCACCGGTCCCCGCAGGGATTCCCCACTTTTCTCTGTTCCTCCGGCGCTCCCTGGAGAAACAGACAGTGGTGGGAGCTGGCACAGCTGGCTCTGGTTCTAGAAAGGCATAGTCACCTTTCAATCAGACAGCAGGATGGATCCCAACAACATATAGTGGGTAGTAGCCCTACATGGGTCACAGGAGGACATTAGTAAATATACTCCTGTGACCCAAAAGAGAGGTAAAACCAAAAAAGTTTGGCTTTAGTTCTCTTCTACTAAAGTGTGATGAAATGACTTTCGTTTCACTTCAAACATCTATTGAATTTAATAATATGGAGCAGCTCCTTTATAAGAGAGAACACAGGTTCCTTTTACATCACACTTTAGTAAATCAGGTCCACCCCTACACTTTGGGATGCAGGTTTCTCAGCTCCAGGAGTAGACTTTGGGATATCTACCGTGTTGAGATCACTCTTTACTTTCCATTCATCTATCATTCACTTTCTTGAGTGAGACTGCCCATGGACTATGCTAGTTGTCATACTTTGTCCTACTGATAGACAGTGATATATGAAATATATGTTTTCATATATTCTGTCCCCCAGAAATGAGATGATGTTCCATACCAACTTGTGATGCACAGATACCGGTTTTTCAGTATCGAGTACCAGTACCGATATTTATCTTTCAGTAAATGTCAATACCGGTACTTCCGGTAGCATGGAGCTGGCTTTCTGGGCATTCAGGAAGCGGGTCATTACCGGCTGCCCAGCTTCCTTTCCATGCTGTTTTTGCCAGCTTGATGCTGATTGGCTGGGAAGCTATATATATATTTATTTTTTTCATTATTAGTATGTAGATGGGGAGGGGGCAATAAGGACAAAATATAAGCAGCTTAAACCTCACCTTTCTTACAGGTACAGTCTCAGTACAAAGCTGCCCCCCCTCCCTACCTATATATATATATATATACATAAATGATGACCCTCTACTGACCAGCAGTGAGCTGCCATTCACATACTGCGGAGTCTGAGTAGTGTACACATGAAAGGCCATCCCTCTCATACCTCGCCTCTTCAATTTCAGCTTCTCTCTCTTCCTTCAGGAGCTCAAGCTGGGTCTTAACAAACTCCTCCATGCCGACTCCGGGAGACTATTCTCTCACAAACGAGCAGGCAGCTGTCAGCTCCTTGTCCAGGGAGGCATGTTCCCTATCGCTTCCTGTGTAAGCGGAACATACTACATGTAATTCGTTTCCGGTGAGCAGAGTTTGTGGGTGCACGCTGTACGGAAGACTGAGGCGCAGTGTACGGAAGTCGGTATAGCATGGCGTTGGTGGGGTGCAGACAGCTGATGTGGAGTGTGTTGGGTGGACGGTGTGTCGGTGCTGCTGCAGCAGGTAACGGAAAGGTGGGGGCGGGAGTTACAGGTCTTGCAGCTGGTTGTCATTCATCTATTTCTATAGATCTGAGGACATGTCAGGGTTACGAACTGAGGGTCACCTTCCATTTTCACACAACTTGGTGTCTCATTTACCTGGTTAAAGGGAGCATACTGATGAGGTCATCTATTAAAGAGAACCTGGCACCAACTTAGAAAATTAAAGCATGTAAAAATAAATTATTCTAAATGCTTATGTGCTGTGTAATTTACTTTTTTTTCAGGAAGAGTCAGTTCCCTAGCATAGCTGGGAGTGTCTAATTACTATCTGTGCTGGCCCAGCTCCTTTGCCCACTCCCCTCCTTACATAACCTTTTATGTAGCTGCCTGGAAAGGAGTGAAGGGGAATACTAAAGTGACAGCTCAGTGTGTGATGGGGCTGCTGACATCTTTCTGAAGTCTGCACAAGGGAGAATATTACATTTAAATGATGTACATACACTGCATTCACATTCGAGGGGAGGCCAATAAGTTCTTACCCTCGCCATGATCTAGATGTGTTAGTGATATGACATATTGCAGTTTTATAGGTGGATATCTTAGTATTATGCATTCAAATTTTTGTTTTTGTAGGGCGTATAGTTGTATGGGAAGATTGTTGTTGAATCAGCAGTATGGTGACCGGATCTCTTTAACCACTTCCTGTCCTGGAGCCCTGTATAAACACTGATCTCCCCTCCGGTGTTATGAATGTGGAAGTGATGTTTATTACATCACTTCAGCATTCAGCTGTCATTATCCAGCTACAGAAGCTGGTGAAGCAGATCTGTCAAGATTTTTTTTTTAAAATCGGTATTTTATTGTTGTCTGCGTCCTTGTCTCAGATTTTCCTTCAATTCCTGACTCATGTCAACATCATCATTGGGCGGGATGCATGAGGAAGTCCGCTTGTAAGGAACCTTTCACATGGGTATTCCTATCAGGTCCTCCTGTCAGTTTGTCAGGCAGATCTGATGCGAAGCTTGATGTTAGTCTGATAGCGTCCAAATCTTAACAGACGTGCGTCCGGTTACCCCCGACTCCACCCAGGTCTGGAAAACCAAATGAAACAGAGTTCCGGGGGTAATATGATGTAAATGGACACGTCAGTTTACATCCGACTCCATAGACTAGTGATGGCCAACCTTTTTAAGCCCGAATGCCCAAATTGGTGCGATCTCCAACTTGTTACGTCACGTGCGGTGGCTTGCCAGTAGAAGATTTGGACAAGATGGCGCTAGTGCGCGTGCCCCAGCCGTGGCAGTTTCAGAATCCTTGTCGAGTTCTCCGATTCCCGTCAGTGTGTATGCGCGGCTTCACAATCCTTGCCATTGCACAGCAAAGGCAGCCAATTGGAGAGCATCTTCTGCTAGCAGATTTCATGTTATGCCATCAGGTGGGCATGCAGGTGCAGTAACATCAATTGGAGAACTTGATGCTGCTCTCGGGTGGCTGCGCAGGCACACTGACGGGAAAATTCTGACACTGCCACAGCTGGCGCACGCACACTAGCTCCATCATCGAAATTGCCTACTGGCAAGTCCCCGAAAGTGAAGTAACAGTTGGATATTTCGACGAGTTGGCTGTTTCGATGGGCCCCACCAACCTGGTGTTCTATCTTTAGGAGTAGGCCTGAAGCGGCAACTCCAGGCACCCCTATGTTAATCCGGACCTGGGCTCGTGTGCCGGCAGAGAGGACCCCCGCGTGCCCACTGTGGCACACATGCCATAGGTTCACCACCGCTGCCATAGACAAACGTGGGTCCACTAAGTTCAGTTTTCAGTGGATGGACACAGATTACAAACGGTTACAGTAAAGTCATTTCCAAGAAATACAGTGGAAGCTTTACTGGGAAAGAAAGCGGAGGTATGCACACACCGACCATTTCGGTTCGTCACCTAAATCCTCACGGAAGCTAAACGGGTTATCGCAAGCACCTGGCAGTCCCCTAATGTTCCCTTTGAAGAGGTCAAGTACAGAGTTTCGCAGGTTATATTCTTTGTAAAACTGTCAGCAATTCAAAATGATGCGGTTGACAAATTCAGGAAAATCTGGGGATCCATGGATTGAGTCTTGCCTACCCTTCTTTTTTCATAGGGACTCCCTGGTCACCTGACTTATACCCCTGATCTCCTTGGGTGGTATGATTATACTGCCCGCAGGGCTGTCCCTTCCTTCTTTCCCCAAATCCTCGTGTCCTTCTCCTTACCGTATCTGCACTCTCTTACATTCTTGTTTTCCCCCCTGTTCTCCCCTCTCTTTACTTCTTGGCAATCTTGGGGGTGATTTGGGGTATCTAGACAGGCGACTGGCACTGATGTTTGTATTTCATGGCACTACTTATGTCCTAATATGTATGCTGTTTTTCAGTACCATGGCCCTTCCAGGCTTTACTGGTTACTGTTTGTTGATCCCCTTTTCTTATGTCTCTGACCAGCACAGTGACCCATCTCTTTACTTTTTACTGTTCATCTCAGCCCATTGCTTGTATGTTTTTGAAACTTTTAATAAAAATATTGAACGAAAAACCAAAAAAAAAGTGGTTGGGGTCAAGTTTTAATTCTCTCACATGTGACTTTAGAGCAGTTGAAGGAGGTATGGAGTATGACTCAAGTTGTAATGTTGCAGTAAATCTTTTTTTCTTTTGAATATCCCCATCGCACACCATACAGATGTACACCAAAAATCCAATGGGTGCTGGAACAACTGGTGGATGGTGCCACAATATACAATCTAGAACAGTGGTTCTCAACCTGTGTAATCTCAGGACCCACATTTGTCCTTGGTCATTTAGTTGCGACCCAAGTTGCACTGCAATAGAACACACTGTGGGTGGGAGGGGCGTTTGGGGTGCCATTCAAATGAATGGCAACGCAATACACCTTCCACCCCAGAACACGTAGTAGGTGCGATTGCGTGGTACAGTGCTGGCTGCTGTGATGGCGCTCCATTCATATGTGCATTGCTTGTACAACTCCCTTGCATGTCTTGTTGAGGTGCCGGGAGCCAGAATGTGATATCATCCCGGTCCAGGCACCTCTACAGGGCACGTGAGGGAGCTGTAAACAATGCACGTATGGATGAAACTCCCTCGTGGCCTTAGCCCCAGCCCACATCAAACCAACACTCTGTGCCGGGCAGCATATTTAAATGGCTGCTTGGCCTGAGAACTGACAGTGCTGCGCTATGGGGAAGCTGGGGAACCTCTCATCTAGAAAAGTGGAAGGCACGCGGCAACCCACTGAACATGGGGGTCGCGACCCACCTGTTGAGAACCAAGGATCAAGAAGATATGTTATCCGCACATCATTCTGCTTGGGAGTGTCCTTTTTATTTGTATTCCTTTAGCATGACGTGTGAATGCAACGTTTTGGAGCCTCACAGGACCCTTTCGTCAGACAAAGTGTCCCCACTCTTCGCCTACGAAGGGGTCCTGTGAGGCTCCGAAATGTTGCATTCACATGTCATGCTAAAGGAATAAGAATAAAAAAGGACATTCCCAAGCAGAATGATGTGCGGTCAACATATTTTGTAGTAAATCTGTCTCATTGCCCCTGTTCAGCAAATGCAGCAGAATTGATAAATGTCCCCAAATGCTTTCC